TCGCTTCGATTTTGAAAGATACATTGTAGGACTTGAACTCGTGGTAGTAAGTATGTGGTAGTAAGTACGGTGCTTTTGGTGCAAAATAGAATTTAGGAGTTCCTCTAATAACCTCTAATAATAATAATTGATTGACATTGATTGATTTATCGTGAACGTTCACATTTCTCTATGTTTCGGCCTATCTACAGTTGGGTGATGTTTCGATCGATTTTAGTCTCATTTCCTAAAAAACTGTGACGCGGTGGCAGGTTTTTAAGGCATACATTGGGTGTAGAAGGTAGCGAAAAATTATGGACTTTTTTCGGCGTCTACAGTGCTCCGTCCGTGTCAATCAATTCGGCGAATATCGATTAATATTAGCAAATTCCGTAAAGCTTCTTTTGTCTCTAGTCGTATCCTAAAAGCAATTTGTTATCCGAAAATTGACACTTACAGAAAGTGTTTCATCACTTACGTTAGACCCATTCTAGAGTATGCATCTATAGTATGGTCTCCACATACACAAGTTGATATCTCTCGCCTAGAAAAAATCCAGCAAAGATATACTAAGATAGCTCTGTGGAAAATAGATTTTTCCAAATTTGCCTACTTTAGTTACACAGATAGACTCAAAATTTTTGATCTTAAATCTCTTAGACACCGCCGCTTGGTCACGGATTTAATAGAATGTTTCAAAATTGTAAAGGGCAGGCAACCTATCCCTCTTTTTCGAGATTTATTCAAAGTTAATCCCACGGTTAGTTCAAGGAGAGGTTCTTTCGTTTTAGAAATTCCAGTCACCTCCAATAAGTTTGTGTAAAACTCTTTTCCAATAAGAACTGCCAGAATTTGGAATCGACTCCCCAGAGTTTTGAGAGAGTCCAATAGTCTCGAAACCTTTAAATTATCTATAGATGATCTTGATCTTGAAGCTCTAGTGGATCCTTGACGTTATCTGTGCTACCCATATATTATTAGGTCGATGCATAAGTCTTTTCGTTTCTTTTCATACTTCTTTTGAAAAATAACAAAGTCATCAATTAACCTATGGTTTGCTCTAAATGAAAAGTGTTTATTGTTCAATTTCCCATCTTTTTAAGTCAATTTGGGTTCACTTTCAAGCAAATTCGAGAGTGAAAACGGGTTTTTCATAAAAATCTATAAAAACCTCTATAAAGAAATTGGCTGAATCAATTTCTCTGAAAATCTGAAAAAATATCTAACTTTTTGTGCTCTATCTTTTATTTATTAATATCAAGATTGGTTTCCTTAGCTAAAGCGTCTAAAATGCATCATCGAGCCGTCGCCTTTTTTGACTACCCGACTTCAGGCTCTCAAAAAAATCTAGACATAAGACATTTTAAACTCGTTTTAATGTCATTTTGCAGAAAAATAATTGGCCTTTCGAATGCAATAAACCGTTGAAAAAAATGAAAAAGACTTTTGCATCAACCTAATACATATATTATGTTGTGTTGCTTTTTATCGGCCCTTTTCGTGTTATGTGTATGAATTCATGTGTTTTAATCTTAAATCTAGCTGACTTTATCTCAGGTCCTGAATAAAGTATCTATATATATAAATTCCCTGGGTATGTCTCTGGATAATTCTAGGGGAAGGAGACCTTTTGCCGTTTTGGGAGTTTTTTTGGTGAAAATGGGTAAATTCTTGGAATGGTGTCTATCAAAAGCATTTTATAATTAAAAAAAACACTCTTCTTAATCGATTGACGATTTTCAAAAGCCGCCCATAATGAAAAGATAAAAAGAAAAAACTTTTGAGGGCTCGTTAGATAGTAACTTTTAAGAGTTCTAGGAACAGGTACATCTCCATGTATTGACCCAAAAATATTGCAAAGTAGGAAGCCACTCGCAAGTGAAGCCCAGCCCTCTCTTCCCCGAATAAAAGCCCGCTATTTAGGCTTATTGTTATTGAATACATATTTTCTTAGCAAGACATATTCTCCTAACTTTATTGGGTTCCTTGTCTCGCTTCAGTTTGTCGTTCAGATCACTGATACCAAGACACATTTCCCTACTTTTTTTTGGTTTTTTTCTGAACTATTCCCCGAAAACCTAAAACCTCGAAATCGAAATCCTAAAACCCGAATACTGCTTTTATTGATAGAGGTTCCCTCTCGCCAAAGCCGTAGCCAAAAACCATCCAAAAACAATATTGAAACATCCCACTTGACTTTTTTCTTCCGTTTCCAAAACGCGCTTTCAAATTTCAATAGGCCAAGTGGGAATTTTGTTTGATTTCAAGTGCATGTGGCTTTTAAAATTTGCTCATCTTGCACAAAAAGTCTGTGCTAGCAGTTTTTCTGGCGCTACGCCCACACGATACGGAGCCGAGTGTGTCTTTTTTATTTGGATTTTACTTGTAAGCATGATATTTATTGGCACATTTTAGAGGCAATAGATCATATTTTTGAACTTGTTCTTTTCATAAATTTCGATTTCCACCGATCCGTCTATCCGTTAGTCGAACCAAATAAATTGTGACCAGCCTGGAAAGTTGGAGTTTTTTTTTCATTTTATTATTTTGTTATATTGGGTTGGTGAGTTCAAAACTGCCGGACTTTGAACTAAAATTTATTCAACATAAAACCATGAATTCATTCGAAATAGTTTTCATTATTATTGACGACTTCTGCCCATTTTACAGGCAATTTGCGGATTCCTCTTTCGTAGTAGGATTTTGGTTTGTGTGTGAGACAAGTGTGAGACTCAAAAATGGAGGACTGTCCCAGTTTGAGCACTTTTCTCAAAAGAAACCCATTTTGGTGTTAATAGAAAAGTTGTAGAGAATCAAAAATTAGGCTTATAGCCAAATTTCCAAAAAGATACACTTAGTAGTTTCGCTTAAAATGCAAGCTTTGTGAAAATTCGTAAATTTGGCATTTCTTGAAAACGAGTTTTTGAATCGTTCTGAAAATTTGGATATAAGCTTAATTTTTGATTCTCTACAACTTTTCCATTGACACCAAAATGGGTTTCTTTTGAAGAAAGTGCTCAAACTGTCACATATGACAATAGCCGACAGTTTTCAATTCACCAACCCAATATAATCAGGAAAATTTCTGACCCTTGAAAAAGATGACCACCAGGAAAGACCATACAATTTCCAATATAAAGGATAATATCGGAAAAGTATGTAAACCAATTCATAAAACAAACAAAAATGATTGGACAAAATAAGTAATAATAGGTGAGTGGAAGGCTGTTGGCAATGATCTGAAAGGATATTTTGATCAAATATAGAAAATAAAGAAATAAATGATGAACTAAAAAAAATAGATCTAATATTTTCATTTAAGCTTGCGAAATCACAAAAAAATAAAATCCCTTACTTGAGCCACAAGAAATCGCTCACTAGTTGACTGAATCGATATTTTTGTTTTCTAAACAGAGAATACTCGGATTTTTAGTTAGAAAAATTCTTTTGTTGAAGTTTTTCAAAATGATCAGGTATGCTTCAAAATTTTCCCACCAAGATTCGATGGATCAATATGAAATCGAGGGAAATTGCCGGCGCCGCCAAAACCACTCGAACGTTGACTAAAAATTGAAAGCTGAAGAAAAATCGAGTTCTTTTTTAGACTGTTTTTATATTGCAGCAGGAGTCTCGTAGCAGCTCCCAGCAAATGAGGTATGGAAATTTGAATCCATGCATATTTTTCGGCTCGTTTAAAATAGAACCCATCAAATGAAACAGCAAGGAAACGATTCAATGACAACGCTGAAAGATTAAGAAAAAGATTAAGAATTAGAAACTTTTGGCGCGAATCGTTGAGACACTGTAATTTTCCCAATAGCGCATGCGCTTCTATTTTTCAACCATTCTCCAAGGTGCGCTTCTATTGGAGAGTGCGCTTTTATTTTTCAACCCTTCAAACCATTCAAAACTTCAAACCATGCAAAACAAAAATTTGAATTTTTTAAAAAGAGATTTCTGGATGAAACAAATGTTTTAAACACATTGCATAAGAAGAAATTTATCTATCAAACAAAAATGCCAAATTAAAACGGATTACTCCCATACGAAATGAAAATATCGAGTTACTACCAGTTTACCTACCAAAACCAGTTTATCTACCAAAGATATCCACATTTTTCAAAGTTTAGTGTCTCAAATCGAATACATATTATACGTCAACGTAAACAAAACATAAGTGAACCAATGACATGCTTACAAAAAAAATCACAGCTCTATTTTTTCTTTCTTTTAGTCGCCAATCGATCATAACAAGGATGCCCAGGGAGGCACGATAGGAGCCGGATTTTGCAAGTAAGACATCACAACCGCCGAAATCGACAACCTAAAGAAAATACGGTAGCCGTGTCGCGCATTAAAGTGCTTACTACTGAAAATTCATGTGAACCCCAGGGGAAATTGGTGTCCGAAGTCAATTTGTTGAAGGGAAGTCAGCAAATTGATCAAAAACAACGAGGGAAATGAGGAAATTTCCGAAAAGAATTGCTTCCTTCTTTAAAAAAGCATAACCGAGTGTCTCCTTTTTGTTATTCATTCCTCATTCAATTGCATGCCATTATTTTTTGATTTGTTTAGCACTATGGTTAGGTATTCTGATTCCATTAAGCATTCAAATTTACTTCTCGACAACACTATGATGATTCTCACCGCAAAATTAAATGCAATTCGCACCTTTGCAATTCATTTCATCGCACATCTAGTCACTTCTTCATTTTCTCCCATCATCACCTCTAATCAATTCACATATTTGTTCGGGTTTTTTTTTTGATTTCAATTTCTTTATACAGAGTTTATTAATTGGGTATTTTCTTCGTTGTGATATTTTAGTGTCCCGAGTGCCTTTAAGAGTGTTCGCCTTTATTCAAAGAATAAATTTATACCCTATAAACGAATCACAGCCGAAAAAACCGAAAAAAAAACCAAATAGTGCAATTTTATTAAAATTTGCAATAGATAACGAAATACTTGTCACAAAAATGAATTCGGTAGAGTAAGTTGGAAAGTTGGAAGGCGAAAGTTCATTTTGCGTGGAGTTGAGGAGCCGATACCTAAATTAAATGTCTTAATCTTAATCCTCAAGACCTTAATTCTTGAATGTTTCAAAATACTCACTTTCACTTTTCCGGGAACATTCCGTGACGCCGAATCATCTCCAATTAGAGCTTTCATCAACGCAACTTCTCGTGGGGCAGCTGCTGTAGTACGCTGAAAGTATCAAATTGATAGCTTGACGATTCTCAAAGCTGAAATTGCACTGAACGCAAAACAAACCATGAATAACTCAAGAGCAGACTTAACGGCTTTTCCTCTTTTTCCAGTTCCAGGGGTCAATTTCACCTAAAGCAACATGAACTTTGTAACTGTAAATCATACAAACCTTGTATTTATACGTTGTCAGCGTATTATATGGTGCGACAACTGGAAGAGCAAAAAGCAGCGTATCCTCTTCAAGCGGTCGTCCTGTCAACGTTTGCACATTTTCTTCAACAGCATCGTCGAGCATCACCACATTCTCATCCGTTACTCCTTCATCTCCTCCTTCTTGTGATGGATTCTTCCGCATTGGGTCGCGTTTTGTTTCTTTTCGTGGTTTTTGCTAAAATTTGACATTATTGGGTTATCGGAATGGGCGACCTCAACAACGGGTTGCTCCTCTTTCTTTTCTGGAACATTCTTTGGCTGTCCTCGACTTCCAAGTATTTGCATTCGTTGTTCCCTTTCCTCTTCATCTTGATCCGCATACTTCTTTTTGATTAGCTTCTGTTTCTTCTTTTGTCGTGCAGCAGCTGCTTGTTCTCGCTTCAATCTAAAATAATTTTTTTGTACATAGCGTAAAACCCTCACTTTGTTGTTAGGTCCTCGACCTGATGTTTATCTTCCAAATATTTCCTCGTTTCAGGGGGCACAAGTTGAGCAGGTCTATTTGCTTTTGCACCAATCTGTGAAAATAATATTATAGATCTATTGGTTTTTGAGTACATTCTACTGCGTACCTCAAGTATAGAATATTCCTCTTGTGTGTCGGCAAGATTGAGTGTATTAATCGGAACATTAACATCCGGGAATTGCTAAAATTAATCGTTATCAATAGGATATTTGATATTTTCCCATTTCCTCTTCCTCCTCCTCATTTTCTTCATCTTCTGCACCATCTTCCTCTTCTCTGCAAATTTCATCTTCGTTTTCATCATCTTCTTGCTTTGGCGTTTCCTCTTCACCATTGTTGAACTGATTGCGTTCTCCTATAAAAAAGTTCCATTGACAAGAAAAACTAAAGTACCTTCGTGGCGTTTAATGCTGTCTTCATCTAACTTAAATAGTAGAGCAAATCCCAGCACCAGTTGACTTGGGGAAAGAAAATTCTTCTTTCCACGAATCATGAATGAGCCGGATGGTAGATATTCACCAGTTGGAGCTGTTCTCGTAACCTATAAATACATTTCCTTAAAAGGTGCCATCAAAAACTCACTTGGTCGTGATGTACCCACCATGCGTTGGAAATTACTTTCGAATCCCACGCACCGGAATAGCAAATTGCCAACTGTGCTGCCTCAATCAACGTTTTTGGAGGAATCTCATTGTTCACTAAAAGTTAACGTCAAAGTAATAATTTTCCAACAATTATTTACCGTTTTTATTCCTGATCACCACTGAAGCCGCTCCACGAAGATCGGCATGGACATACCGGGGCGAAGATAGCGTTTTACCACCATTTCGTTCTGTTGAGCGTCGCGTCCAGCTATCTAAATATGCTAGTAATTCTGTACCGCGGAAAGGTACACTTTTACTGATTCCATTCATCAATACTAAACAAATGCAACTAGAACTAGAAAACAAAAACCGTTTGTTTCTACTTAGAAACCCACCACAATATAGTCTTCAGACGAGATGAACCATACAAACTTTTCAAACCAAAATTGCTTGCGACTTTTAACCACGTCTGTTTTTATTCGTACCTAGATAAAAATAAAGCTTTAAAAACTCAAGAAACAAACCAAGTCAATTGTATCTTTTGCTTTCGCTTGAGCATTCTTAATTGCCTTTGCTTGCGCTTAGTTTTTCCTTTTTTTCACATCAGCAGCCTAAAAGTAAACGAACTGATAAAATTTCCATAAACTAACAAACCTTTTTATCAACAAAATACTTGCGTGAATTTTGATACGCATTTAAAGCGCTATCAATCTTTACATCAACTAGAGGCTCTTCTTCATTGAATGGGTCCCCGAGACGCATGACAAATTGATTACTTTCCAACTCTAACTTTACAATTCGAGTTGCCGTTTCGTCACCTTTAGAACCTTTTGTTAAAACAAAGAACTCGACGGCTAACCAGATTGTACAGCTTGTTTCCACAATTGCTCTATGGCCGACCAGTCACTTCTTGAAGCGATCATCGTTCTCATCACCATTAACGCTCGCTCGATCAGTGACTAAAGTTTTGGTGGTTATTCTGATTTGATTTTCTGGTTACTTCATTAAGAACGATCCTTTCTCCCATAATTTCCTGTTGTCGTTTTGCTTCTTCCAATGCCAAAATCCGAGCCTTTTGGTCCTTTTTCACGTTGTTCAACTTTTTGATCGCCTCTTTTTCAATGTTTAGTGCTCTAAAATTTGAATTATTTCTAGATTTTGATTTTTTTTACTTTTGTTCCAGTTTTTGTGTCTCCTGTTTTGCATAAAACTCATCAACTGCTGCACTGAATGATGGATATGAGTGATGCGGGAGTTGAAGTGCTTGTTGAAATATGTAGGGATGATAATCCTTAAAAAGAGCTAATTTATGTGCTAATCTGACTTTCTGATTTACCTCAAATGTTTCAACAAACTTTCCATCAGCACGTTGTTCCTTTTTGTAGGTAAGTATTCCAGTTGAAGCATTTGTTTGAATTCCCTCAAAAATCTGCAAAAATTATATCTACAAATTTCATAAAAGTCTAAACCTTCTTTCCCGTTTCCAAAGCATTGTATATTTGCAGAATCGTCACATCATCCACTTTCACGTTGATTTCAAATTGAGCTTTAGCTGGGAAACTAAACTAACTTTTTAATAATTTTTAGTTAAAAAAACTTACCCATGAAGTAGAAGGACATGTTCGATCATCGGTCCTCCACACACAACATGCGGAACCAGAAATCGCTTTAACATTTCTCCTTTTTTTCGTATTAGAAATTTAAACAACAAACTATGAGCAAATAATATAAAAGAGAAGGAACGAACGAGGGGAAAAAGAGGGTACCTTAAAAACGCTCTACAAAAACATAATAAATTTTACGAAGGGGGAAGAAAACTTAGCGGCGCTCGGCGTAAAAGCTGGATAAAGATTCCATTATGGAATAGGAAAAATGAAAAGAATGGCAAAAGCAAAAGCAAACGGTAGCGCATCCACGCTTTAGAAAGCGCCGTCCATTCAAAACAATAGGGAATATGATTCCTTACAGACAAACTTCCAGACAACGATCCTACTTCTCTCAGTCTTATTCATCGTTTTCATCTCGATTCTTTTATTTGAGCATCCACCGAATGGAAGTGGATGGCCGATATTGTGAGAGGTTTGAAAAATAACAACAGCAAAATAACCTGTAGAACTTTAGCAAAGCTTGTTGATGATCATAGCTCTAATCTTTAAAGTAACATCAATTTCATTATTCAGCTATTTCCTCAGTATGCAAACCCCAAAAACGAGACAAAAGAGACTTTTATCAGTCGCCGGTCCTCTTCTTTTCTTCCTTTACCTTGTTTTGACGTCCACAATTGTCCCACAACCAATTGTCAATTCTTCAATCTTCTTTGCCAACACTCATGCAACTCCTATATTAACTTGTTTCCTAGTCGAACCGTATCGAAAGTTTATTATCGAGAAAGCAAATCGATGGCTGAATTAAGACTTATTTTGAATCTATTATTTAAATCTCGAGAACCGCTTATCAGAACCTATCGATGTGGGGTCGGAAAATGTAGCTGACGATGAGCTATAGTGGGGGATTCGAGTGTTGAGCTTCTGCAAAAGATTGGAAAGTGTAAACTAGTCACCAACTCGGCTCGCCGGGGTGCACTACTATTAGAGAAAATTTACTAAGAAACGGTATTTAATAAAAAGAGATTCTGATCGGATCTAAATTCATTTATTGCCAACTCTGATATTTTCATTCAAAACGTCTATTCTTTGTGGAACACACCTCCTATTTCCTATTGAATTTGAAAAGCTTTTGAAATAGAAAATTTTTTACTTTGAGCCCAGTTATACCTGGAAGAATCACTTTTGTTTCCGGGTTCATTAAAGTTTTCGAGTATTGGTAAAGTTTAGTTCAACTTGCATTTTATTACTCAAAGTATTTGACTTTTAACGTTCCTTGCATTAGCTGAATATGCATTAGCTGAGCTAATAATGTTTAGTTATGTCAAAATTGTATCCAAAAATCTATTTGTCTAGTTCTTTAACAATAAATGCCTGCAATGATCACAAATTAATGCTCAAATTGAAATTATTTTAAATATTTAAGAATTGATTTCACTCTTTGTTTGCTTCTATTAGATTTCGATGAAAAAGAAAATTTATTTCTCAATGAAAATGCTGATTCAATGTTTTGTATCAATTGTAGGCAACTCAGCGATTTGGTTGAATGAAGGTGTAGCTGTCCAATGGTACAGTGGACCAATGGACCAATCTTCAATCTTCACCCGCTGACAATGAAATCCTAATCCATACAAATATCTCTATTACTTGTTACTGACATCCATAATCGATCTCCTCACTTCACCCCATCCCCACCGCTCTTCAAATACCCTCCCCATTGCCTCAAAACCATCATCGCCAGCTCATCTCTTGCCCAAATATTATCATCGATATTCATCGCTGTACAATCATTCAATTTCCTCACATTCCCTTTCCATTCACATCCATCAATCCACTCGAAATCCTTCAACAACACCAAACTCACTGTATACCTTATCTCCAATTCACCAATCCGAATCGAATTAAGATTGTTTGCCCACCATTTCCCATTTCTCAGATACAAGAATGGATTTGGTAATCGGAAATTGAAGGGCTCGTAATATTTAGATAAATTTTGAAAGTGTTGAGCGTCTTTCTCATCGGCGAGAATAAGCAAGACTTGGTATTGAAAACCATTCTTCCGACGGTTTCCCTTCGATCGAGAACTGGGATTCCTTTGATACCACATTTGATAGTTCTCCAAGAACTTTAATGGTATTGCAACCCGATGATACCCTGCATTGGATTTTCCGCCAATTGGATACGGACTCTTGTTGCCCAAACCCTTTTGAAATAAAGTGGTGGAGAAGAAAAGACCCGGACAACCGATGAGGGGACCGTCGTGGAGTTTACTGTAAACGATTTGCCATTTCAGACGGGGAATGCGTGGAGGGGATCGACCGGACAAAACCTGAAAGTGAAGCTTATGGTGGAGTGAGATCTCTAATCTAGAGTGAGATTTTTAAAATCCACTGGGTGGCCCACAATTATAACGTCGCACTTCAGAGGGTCTAGTATTGGTGAAAATCGGGTGAATCGTTCTGATTTTTCTGGAGATAAATCTTAAGTATGTCTCCAGTATCTAATCGATTCAAGCTTTCAACTTTTTAGATGGCCTTCCAAAGTTGAGAGCCGAGTGTCGTTTGGCACGCTATTACTACAAGTTCCTAAGGGTGGATAAAGAAAGGTGAAACGGTCGCAGAATCTTCTTTTTTAGTTTTTTTTTTGTTAAGAAAATCCAGTAACCCAAAAAAGGTGTTTTTAGGGTTTTGGTATGGCCTTTCTATTGCAAAAGAAAATAGCTCGATATCTCCACCCATTCTCCGTAAAACCTCTTTTTGGGGGGTGGATAAAGAAATATGAAACGGACTGTATTACGCATTTTTTGGGATTTTAAAAGTTTCATTTGTTTGCTAAAAAGTCTTTAAGATTTAAATGATTTTCAATTAATCATATTTAATTATGAAATGAAAGCGATAGACCTTGAAAAAAAAATAAGATTTTCTCCTGTAACGGTGTCCATTATCTAATCGATTCAAGCTTTCAACTTCTTTAAATGGCCTTCCAAAGTTGAGAGCCAAGTGCCGACTCAATTATGGAATTTCTGAGAGCGACCTTGTCAAAAACTTATTGAGATTTTTCATGTTAATGAACAAAATTCCACATTCTCTGTCCAGTTTAATTGGAAAAATTCTAGAGAAATATCACCAAAACTCACTTAATAGGATCTATTTTCACTTTAATGATTTATTGGACATTGAGAGAAGCCACTAAAGAACAAGAAAATCTTATTTTTCTCAAGGTGTATCGCTTTCATTTCATAATTGAATATGATTAATTGAAAATCATTAAAATCTTAAACACTGTCTAGCAAACAAATAAAACTATTAAGATCCCGAAAAATGCGTAATAGTAAGCCAAACGACACTTGGCTCTCAACTTTGGAAGGCTATATAAAAACCTCAATGAGTTTTTGACAAGATCGACAAGACAAAAATCCCATAAACGAGTAGCGAGCGACACCCGCCTCTCAACCTTGGAAGGTCATCGAAAAAGTTGAAAGCTTGAATCGATTAGATAATGGGCAACGTTCCAGAAGACATACTTAAGATTTATCTTCAAAAAAATCAGAATGATTCACCCAATTTTCACCAATGCTAGACCCTCTGAAGTGCGGCACTATAATTGTGACTTGTGACAATCCAGCATTCCCAGGATTCTCAGAAATCCATTGCCAATCTTTATACAATCAATTCTTTTCCATGCACCTCATTCTTCGTGATTCGGTGAGCGACTTCTGTGGGCGCCATAAAGTGACTCCCATCAACACAAGTCTTTTCCCAATCATAGAAGATCATCAACAAACTCCGGAGATCCCAGCGTAAACCTGAACGCATTTGAATTAAGTTTAAATCTTAGCTATTGGGTAACTAAACCGAATTTGCACAACTTTAAAACGCTGTTCGACTTATCAACCCTTATCTAATGCACGGCTCATGAGAAAGCCAACATCGAAACAAACCTGATTTATTCGTCGGGCATCCATTCTCTGAAATATAGTTCCCCCATTGAAACAAAAGCCTTTGTCGGAGATCTTCGCGAAATTTCTCATGAGAAACCCTTTCCATTGAATCCCATCCAAACCCGGGTGCTTGAAAATCCTTCAAGAATGCCACACTCACTCGATAGCGGAAATTTTTGCATAAAAAGTTTGTAAAGCAACATTTCTGGCTTAGACAAAGAAATGGATTGTCTTCTAGAGCTAAGGGAATAAAATAGTCCGATAGGCTCAAGAAAATCGATTTCTGGAGTTCATTGACAGTGATGATCAACTTGACTCGATAAAGTTGAAAGGAAACTTTTGGAGAACGGAGATAAAATGCGGATAGCTGCTTTGATTGGATGAGATATTGAGTTAAACCGGAAATCTTTCTCGTTTGATGATAGGCAATCGGATTGGTGATCATTTGATGTTGAGTGGCCATTATCACCCATAAAGCCGGCATTCCAATCAATATCGGCACTCCTTCACCCTCATCGGTTGGAGACCAACTCAAGGTTTTCGGGTGGCCGTCCTGAATTGAATTTGCAAGTACAAGCAAAGATTTTCCAAAGAACTGGGTGAGGTTTGGCCTTGGCCAAGGTCAGAATCTGTCGTCTTACTTTAAGCCCAAGCCAGGTCAGACTAAACCCGTCGATTTAGTGTGACACGCTTGTACTTAACCTAGCTTAGAGTTAGTCTTGTCCACTGAAATATAAAATTTTAACTACGATATTTGAATTGTTGAAGCAAAGTTCACGTACATTTATCGGCTGAAAAAAGCTGAACACGGGTTCCATTCTATTGATCCATTGCGGTATTCTGTGCATCGTTTTGTACCATTTCATTTCATCATAAAGATCATTGAAAGACATGCTACAAGACGGAAATTATATCATTTGAGAAGAATTTTGAAGGAAACAAAAAAATCAACTAGAAAACAGCTGATCGATAGGAAAATAAATGTCGAATTTTCAATCATGAATCACAAAAGACGGGAAACTTTTCAGAGAAAAGGAAATGCCCAAAAATTGATGCTTTTCTGGGTGGTGAATCAAAGGAAAAGTGTGACCAAAAGCTTAGTGATTCAGTTGAAATAAAAATTTTTGAATCTATTTAAAAATTTCTAAATCTTTCCAGTTAAAATAGCCAACAATTAGAAATACAAGTTGAAGCCCTTTTGTTCTCCCAAATTAGATAAACCTTTAAAAGTTCGTTGCCTGGACAACAATTAGCGTGCGAGTGTGCAAAAATGAAGGAGAACAGTTTGGTTGAAATTCTCATGTAAAAGAACAAAGATTGATCGGCGATTATCCTATGATCCCTTTCTCAATCAATTATTGAGAATCAATGAGAATTAACGTACCACCTAATGTCCAAGTGCTAATAACAATGCCACAGACTGCAAAAACAATGTTAATGTCCCTTCCATTATTGGGCCGATCCCACATCGTTTCTTGGAGAAACTGTGGAAAGACGGAATCGACTGGAACCCCGACCTCACTCCCGTGCTCGCAAACATTCCTTCAACTCCCGCTTTCTTATATTTTCCAGCAATGTCTATCCTGCTACTCAATAAAAAGTCTTTTTTCTTTAAAATAAAAAGCTTAAGTTCTCGTATTTTACTGATTTTCAACCTCTTCATCCATTTTTTTTTGGTTGTTTTAGCTGTACAGGGTTGTCCAGGATTATGGAGACGAAGGGTATCTTTGATATTGCATATTTTTGCTTACAACCTATATATTCTTTTTGTCTTTCTTTTCGTTTATTTTCTTTATTTAACTATTTACTTACTTTACTTTTTTCTCAAAAATGTTTCTCTTTAGAATGGCCAAGCAGTCAGTGTACCGAGATGCGATCATCGACCTACACAAGAGTGACGTTTTGGCTTTCAACCTCTTCTTCAAATCGCTCAATTGTGCACTCTGTTCGACGCCGTGTAAGTTTTACTTTGAATTCAAAAAACGTATTATTTTTGCCATTAGCTTATTGTAATAAAAATGGGCAGAATTGTATTTAAGACTCAAAAACGGCTAATGAAGTAAATACACCGGCACAAACTTGCTGTGGTGATATTCAAGCAGTGTGCATGAAATGTCGTGACGAACAACGAGCAATGGCCCCAGCGATTCGAGCACATCGATGCAATGGTCTCGATTGTTTCGAGGACGCGTATCCTTCATATTACTTGATGGGTGAGTAAATTTGAAAGTAATCAAAGAAAATTCGGCGTGATATCATGTATAATATCATACAGGGTGCACCAGAATTACGGCTACACCTTTTCAGGCTACACTAAAGAAAAATTCTTCCTACATATAATTCTTAATTAGAAAAGAGCTAAAAATAGAAGCGTGCTGGAGACTGGTCGGATTGGGCTCTTTGAGAGTCTGCAAAATGGCCTACAAAACTCCAATCAAGAATCTTTTGTTACAGAAATGTCGGCAAGAATGCAGGCTTCAATTTTCGATCTAACACTTAGAGTTTTTGCAATGATTTCGGTGTTTGGCATGCAATCTGCTGAAATGGTGTAGCCGTAATTCTGGTGCACCCTGTAGTATCTCTTTGAAAAACAAACACAATCAGATTGCTTTAGAATTGCTCTCAAGTGGGTGCTTTACGTTGGATCAAAATTTGATGGGATACGTTCAAATAACTCCATCAATCACAATTCCTGAGTGTCCGATTTGTAATGAAGAATGTGGGTGATTTCATTGTACACTTAGAAAATGATGAAACCTTAGACTCAATAGAAGACTCACAAAGAGAACCATTCATCCTTTACTGTGGCCACGAGATGTGTAATGGGTGTTTTGGTAAAATGTCAAAACCAATAACCAGTTCGATCTTCAAATATGCTCTCGAGTGTCCACAATGCGAACGGAACTTTTATTATGCTCAAGAATTATGGGAGAATCCATTGGAAAGTTGGTTGCTTTTCTATCATCCTTGAATTGTTAAAATCATTCAGTCTTTTTGCGAGCACTGTCGGAGAAACAAACTGAATTGAAAAGAACATGTGGTGATTGCAAAAAAGAGGTTTTCCTCTAGATTTAACGTTGTCAAAATCTATTTAGGCGCCTTTGTTTGAAATGTTTCAATGTAACGATTGTAGAAAAGTAATGGTTCGTTGAGAAGAGATCTTTGAAAATATAAGTTTCCTTTTGGATAATTGTTTGCATATTTCAGTGAACGCTTTCAGGGATGTTAGAATTTCAAAAGCTACACTCATGATGTGAAAAATGAAAGTATAAATCGAAGTTTAGTTTTGCTCTGTATGTGGAATGAAAAAGCATCGACAGCATCAAATTGTCGATTTGGAAGTTGGAGAGGTAGAAAGAAAAGAACGAATCTACAAATAGCGAGAAGGACATTCCATTTTCAGGTGAAGAAATTGATGAATGTAACTTATGAAGTGATTACCCCGCAAATTAAAGCTTATGATGTCTGTTTTCCCGAACTTCAAGCGGATTTGATTAAAAAAATCCACAATTTTCAAGCGGTAAATTTCTCAAACTTTTGTGATAAATTCCGGAGATTCTTCAGAAACTCTTGAAAAAGCCGGCAAAATTGAGGGGTTAAATTATAAGCTAGCAGAGTACGAAAAGGCGGATTGTTTGTAAGTTTACGGAATTTTGAAAAAGAAAAAACAACTTTCAGAGCTATTGGTGCGGAATTTGAGGGGATTTGTGAGAAATATTTGGGCAATTTGCGATCGTGTAACACTGGGATTGAGGTTTAATATTGAAATAGGGCATTTATTATTCTCAAAGTTTAGAAGCTGCTCAGCAAATTCGATGAGTCAGAATGAACTTCATAAGATTTCTTGGAGTCACGGAAATTAGCTTCTTTATGTAATTTGTTGTTAATAGAGCTGAATTTAACCATTCAATTTGATTAAGATGCTGAATTGGCTCAATTTGAATCCGTTTTCTTTCCAGAATTTCTCCAGATCTTACCAGATGCCTTCTTTCTGACAGTTGGTCTTTTGTGGCGCAATAAAACCCCATTCCCTCAACGAGGCTCTCCCTGTTTTCTTGTCAATAAATTTAATGAACTAACTTTGTTTGCTTTCCGATTCATCTGAATTATTTTCACTTTAAACAGCTAATAAAGTGTCATCAAAATGCACCATTTGCAAAGCCTTCAATTGTTCTTTATGCTCGACACCGTGTGAGTTTTGAGTGTTCATAAATACTTAGGTAGCTGAAAGAATATAGACAATTCCTTCAAACTTTTCCAATCATTAGCTTTATCATTTTTCTCAGACCAACAGCCAATTTCTTCATCTTTAACTCTAACATTTCAACTCGATCATTTCCAGACTCAACAACGGGAGACAACAAGTCGAAACAAACCCTTTGTTCGGAGATTCAAGCAGTTTGCATGAAATGTCGGATACAGCAATTAAATATTGAAAGAACGAAATGAGCAAATGTAAAAACATGATTCTTTCAATGTGATAACACGACCATCGGATTGTTTAATGAGTGAGTGAAAGGAAATGAACTACAGGACGATTAGAAATACGTCCAAAATATGAATTAAGTTCAGGTATTTTGAACTAAAATACCTAAATTTGTGTTTATCTATTAGGTTGATGCAAAAGTCTTTTTCATTTTTTTCGTCTGCCGTTTCAAGCCAACAAATGCACCAATTAAACTACGGTTGATTTCATTAGAAAAACCAATTATTTTTCTGCAAAATAACATTAAAACGGGTTTAAAAATATTTAGTGCCTGGATTTTCTTGAGAGTATGAAGTCGGGTAGTCAAAAAGGGCTAACTCGATGATGCGGTTTAGACACCTTAGCTAAAGAAAACCTATCTTCGTGTCAATAGATAAAAGATAGAGAAAAAAAACGTTTGATATTTCGCCAAAATTTCAGAGAAATTCATTCAGCCAATTTTTCCGTAGAGTTTTTTATAGATTTTTACGAAAAAGGCGTTTTTCACTCTCGAATTTGCTTGAAAGTCAACCGAAATTCATTTAAAAAGATGCAAATTGAACAAAAAAACACTTTTTTTATAGAGCAAACTATAGATTAATTCGTGAATTTGTTACTTTTTAACAGAAGTACGAAAAAAATGAAAAAGACTTTTGCATCAACCTAATATAACAAAAGCCTTTTTGGTGCCTAAAAATAGCGTGAAAATCCATTTATTGACTAAAAAGATAGCTTTTCGTTTGAAAAAAATGAGCGTAAGATGTTAAGAGCTTGAACTTATTCCTATGCTCACTTAGTTGAATACATTTTTAAAATTTGCTAGATAATTAAAGATGCTAACAGTTGTTGAAAAGTTAGTGAAAGCTTGAACTTGATTTATATTTTGCGCGTTAAAAACGAGAAAAGAGCTGGAAAAAAAAGACTCGAGAAGCCATTACGAGAAGGCGTCTACTTTCGTGTCCTGTAAAAGACAGGATTGAACTAGAGAAACAAATTTCATGATAAACATGATTGTTCCTAAGGAGGTCTACTTATTATTTGCAGTTTTGCAGAGTTTTTGCCCTCGAGGCCTGTAACGCAAGATATCTGGCTCACAAGTTTTGGTTGCATTTTTGATCTTTATTTGAGGCCTCCACGCTATCTCTTAAAATGAGGATGCGTGGCGTAGGGAATAGTATTCATGTACAATAGTACGAGGGGTTTTTCAGTCCTGGTTCGACTCCCCTCACAAATTCAAATTTTTCGGGTATTTTTTCGGTTTTACACTACACAAATCGTCAACACTATGAGTTATGGGCCAGAATTGAGATCCGAGATTCCATATGGAACTGCCTACACAAACTTGGCACACCCGTGGGATGCTCGCGACTTGTGGAATCAACACTGTGAATATGTGGCGGGCCAGAAACAAGGGAAAGAAAAAGCTACCAAATCAAAACGTTAAACAACTTTCAAAAAAATATTCTTTTCAACAATTTATTCTAGTTTTTTTTTTAGCTAAAAGACTCAGCTTCCTTCTCCTTCTTGTAGCGTTTTCATTCCGCAAAGAAAGGCACAACGCACGGGTATTGGCATTTTTCTCCAGATTTGCATGCAAACCACCCGAAAGCTGTGTGACTCACAACAACTGATTAGCTTTTTAAACTATTCATGAAAACTACTAAAAACTGATCAACTTTCTAAATTCAAGTACATACAATACATTAGTAATCAATAATTTCTTTGTTGGCTCCAAAGTTCCGAATTCTTAGACGTGTTGGAAAAGCGAAAGGAACAAAGAGGGTTCCCCTTCTCTTCTCTCTTTCTTTTGCTCTTTCCTTGCTCGGAGACAGGCAGCATTTTGATTTTGCAATCAAATTGTATAACACTAGAAAGTCCCAAAAACCGACCATTTCCCGCTTAGTTTATCGATCGCAAAAAAGATTCTTCCTTGAATTCTTGCTTATTGCTATTTATGACCAATTTTATACTGAGTTACAGCATTTGACTAGTTTTTTTGAGTTTCAATCAAATTCTTATAATTTTTATAAATTCAAAGTTTCAGGTCACTCAACATGTCGGCTGCCGAAGTGAAAAAAAAGGCTTGTGGCTGCGAAGAGCCAGTAAGTGAAAGTTAGAGTATTCAGAGCTTCAACAGCTGGTCCAAGTAAACATCCCATAGGGAAGAATGAGGATTTTAGAGCATATTCCATCTAGTATCTTTCAAAAAATTTAAAAGGTCTCAAAAAAAGTGAAAAATTATCCCCAGCTTCTTTCGTTTTCTTTTTTCTACTATTTCACTGCATGTCTTTGAATTCAATCTCCCAACTTTACCTAAGTGTCCCTATTCCCTTTATCAAATGTTGAACAAATGCCTCTCTCGAACTGATTTTGGAGGGGATAACCCAAGAAAAATCAGGTAAGTTGGATGGTTCAGTATTTTTGACTATAATTCGCGATTCCGAAATTCGATTCGTCTGCATTTGGTTTCATTGGATAGAGTGTCAGATTCCCCGTCGAATGGCACTAAAAACAATCAAATCGGATAGCAGGATGGCGAGTTACAGCTAAAAGTACGCAACCATCCAACTTCCATTCGGAAATATTATTAGGTTGATGCATAAGTGTTTTCGTTCCTTTTCGTCTGCCGTTTCAAGCCAACAAATGCACCAATTAAACTACGGTTGATTTCATTAGAAAAACGAATTATTTTTCTGCAAAATAACATTAAAACGGGTTTAAAAATATTTAATGCCTGGATTTTCTTGAGAGTATGAAGTCGGGTAGTCAAAAAGGGCTAACTCGATGATGCGGTTTAGACACCTTAGCTAAAGAAAACCTATCTTCGTGTCAATAGATAAAAGATAGAGAAAAAAAAGTTTGATATTTCGCCAAAATTTCAGAGAAATTCATTGAGCCAATTTTTCCGTAGAGTTTTTTATAGATTTTTACGAAAAAGGCGTTTTTCACTCTCGAATTTGCTTGAAAGTGAACCGAAATTCATTTAAAAGATGCAAATTCAACAAAAAACACTTTTTTTATAGCAAACTATAGATTAATTGGTGAATTTGTTATTTTTTACAGAAGTACGAAAAAAACGAAAAGACTTATGCATCAACCTAATAGGTTTGAAAGGTCAAAGTGAGAATTTTCTTTCTTCTCTGCTTATCAGTTTTCCCCAACACCAAAAGCATTCGGATAAAAAGGGGTTTGTTTACACTATTCTTCAAATAATGATTCCTAAAAACCTTCAGTTGAATATTGGTATTTTCTGTTTGATTTTTGCCTTTCTTTGAAGGCGTCCGATAATCTACCGAAGGAGCATTTTCGGCCTGTCCTTTTGTTTCACTTCAAGGAAAATTCCACTGTCATCTGTGCTTATGGGAGATTAATCATGTTTATGGGCAAGGTTCACTTAGTCTAGCAACCGCTTACAGATGGTTCCATCGTCTCGAGAAAGGCGACTTTTCCCTAAAGGAAGATGCGAGGGGTGGGAGCGCGAGTGACTTCGATGAAACGACTCTAACTGAATTCCTGCGAATCGACAACAAATAATCAACCAGAGCTCTGGGAGAACAGCTAAAGGCCTCTCATACAACAGTGATAACCCATCTCCATTCAATGATATTTATTTCAAATATTTGGCGCGTGGGTTCCCCATGCGCTGACAGATGTGATGGGGTTGCGGCGCCTCCCAATTTCTTCCGCCCTACTCTCCCAGTACAACAAATACGCCGTTCTTTTTACTAGTGGTGAGAAGTGGGTACTTTATGCCAACTATCGGAGACACAAGCAATGGATCGGTCCCCGGGAGCAACCGAAACCTGAGCCCAAGCCAGAATTGCACCAGAAGAAAATTATGTTGTGTATTTGGTGGGATCTGAACGGAGTAGTTTATCGGAAGTTACTACCTGAAGGCACGACTGTTACAGCTTTCCTGTATTCGGAACAGCTGGATCGGGTCGCCGGAACAAATCACAAAAAATCGGCCAAATCATGGAAAGGTATGACCTTCTCTAGCATCACAATGCAAGACCTCATGTTGCAAATTTGACTCAACAAAAATTGAAGTAGCTGAGCTTGCGTGGTTTGTCTTTTTAGATGAATACCGTGCAAAAACTCTCACTTTCACCTAAAATAAAATGTCCTGAAACCGGTTAAGCTACTGACTTTAGATACATCGAATTGGCAAAACAAGACATAGTCGATGCTCTGAATCAGTTTCGGGATCTGGTGCCCGATCTTGAGAAGTTCAAGTTTCCCGACAAAGACAACGAACAACGAATCACATTCAAGCTCAAGGGGACCATTCCGATGTGTTATAGGGTACAAATATAAAAATTTATATCTAGACTCAAAGTTGAACCCTTCTTCCAGGAGACCGTGTACAACATCCTGATCTCGATCTACCTCTCACCGATGCACCCGTATCACTCACCAGTGTGCTATGTGAACCCCACAGAGGATATGGTAATGTTAAATTGATAAAAACAAAAATCTATGAGAATCTATGAAAAATTTGATAGGTGATCCGTTCGAATGAAAATGTGAGCGAAGATGGGCGAGTCTATCTGCCGTATTTGCATGAATGGCGGTACCCAGGCTACGACTTGACCGGATTGATTCAAGTACGTTTCTTTATTAGAGGATTTTCTACAAATGACTAAATAATTGTCAGTAGGCCTCTGGAAATTAAAAAAAGTAGTTTTAATAGTTCAATCTGACTTCAGAATTACTTCAGTCAATAAAGTATAGATTGGTTATGCTGAACAGCTTCCGAACTATTTTTTAAAAAAACCTATTCCAGATCTTGGCGATGATCTTCGGAGAAAAGTGTCCGGTGTTTTCGAAGAAATCCGGTAAGACCGCTTCTCAGTCGACATCCGTGAATCCATGGCCAACGCCAACTCCAATGGTATGCTTGTAGTGTAAATAATAACCGGTTATGCACTGCTTGTTCTACTTTCATTGGTGCTTGCAATTATATTAGTCAAAGTGAATCTTTCTGACCTAGAACTGGAGCACAGTCGAATCTCGTCACAACTATTGGGTTGTCCAGTTATGAATGCGCCTTTTTTACTATTTTGCAAATTTCTCAAGATACCGAAATCAAGAAAAAGATATATATGAGTATTATTCGAAAGCTGAAGATCTCCTCTACATTTTGATATAAAAAGTTTTTGAATTTGTTCAGCTTTTGGGCAAATTGACTGCATAGAAGAAGAGGTGGCCAAAAAAATGGAAGGGTGCCTTTAGATCAAGTTTTGGATCTTTAGATCTTTAGATCAACCCAATCTAATCAACAAAACGGTTAATATAGGGTTGTGATGTGGATTTCTACTATTCCCAACTAGAAATCTCAATTAGAACTGAAAATGCTATTGCCATATTGATAGTTCGGAAAAAAATGCTATTGTATAGCTTTTTCAGTATATGTATCCGGAGATACAAAACCGAACACCTTCATGGACTCCACCACTCCCAGGATTCGGCACTCCATTTTCACAACACTATGTGCCATATTTCGACGATCTTCGAAGTACTGCCAATACTGTCAATTCTTCAAGTACTGTTAATTCTTCAAACGATACTCAAAGTCAGGCAACGATTTTTGACTTTGAATCATTGAGTCTCAGATCGAACTGCACGGCCGATCCAGCCACTCTTGTCATGGCCGATGTCATGTATCCCGAGTTCGATTGGAAGATATCAATTTGTGGGTTTTATGCTATAGACTTCAAATTTTTGGCAACATCTAAAATGATACATGGTAGTTATTAAAGAAAATACAGGGTGTGTCAAAATTATGGGCACTAGGGGTACGCTCATGAGTTCTTACTTTTCCTATTTTTGTTCCCTTTTCTACTAGCTTTGTTTGTGATTTTTTATCATTGTTTACAAGTTTAACTAATGTTTTTTTTTAAAATTTAGACTATTGTTTGCTGCAATGGTGTAACCGTCCATTCATCGTGGATCTATCATCGATCCCCATCAACGCGGTGTTCCGGCACGGTCGATTCAAAAACGTTTGAAAGTGGGAGAGAACGGTTTGTTTTCAAAACCATTGCACGATTCAAGTAACTGGGAGGCAATTAAGACCGCTTGAGAAGAGGACGAAAACGTACCGCAGTCACAAAAGCGGCTATCAGGAAAATACGTGAACGAATCAGAAGGAAGCCCGAGCGCAGCGTGCGCCAAGTGTCACGAGAAACGCTGATTTCCGAACCCTCAATGAGGTGAATTGTGCCAAAAGAGCTAAAACTTCAAGCCTTCAAGAAAAATAAGTGTCAAGGTTTGACCGATGCCACCAAACAAAAATGAATGGTTTGTTGTCACGATCTCTTACGGCGATTCCCAGGCAAGCAAGATGCAAGATGTTTTGTTTATGGATGAAAAGTTGTTTACGGTTAACATGCACTGAACAAGCAAAATGATTGGATTTATGCTCTCATACGACAGTGAAATGAGTCTCTCATCCCGCCTTCTTGATTTGGGCTGGGATCACAGCCGACGGAAAGACTCAACTCAGCTTTGTGCCTACAGGAGTGCAAATTAACGGAAACGAGTATCTGAACACCCTGAAGACAGACTTTTTACCTTGGGTTCAATCTCACTTTGAACGTCGTCTTTGAACAAGATGGAGCTCCAGGCCACAAGGCACATTTTGTTCAAAATTTGTTGCGCCCAGAATTCCCCGGACTCCATCGCTTTTAATTGCTTCCTCGAGCCCGGATCTCAATTCGATGGATTACTCGTTTTGGAGTTTCCTTGAAGTAAAGGCTTGTCAAAAACCACACAAAACCGTCATTCGTTGAAGAAAGCATTGATCAAAGCCTGGGATGACCGATGCCTCCTACTTGATGTCACCGTGGATTCATTCAGCGTGCGTCTTGACACATGCATGCAAGCTAATAGAGATATCTTTGAAGTTCAATAGTTTTTCTCGATCTTATATATGAAATAAACATTGTTATAACTAAGTTCTGCATTTGAAATTTTTCAAGCTTTTTCTGACTGCCCATAATTTTGACGCACCCTCTAACTTGGTTGTTCGTTGGCTGTATATGTGACTGGTTATGTTTTGTACACTAGGGATATTTATCAGATGCTAGTCAGTTAAATAGCCATCCAATTGTACTGTTCTGTAGAAACGACGGCACTTATCCGTTAAATCCCCCGCAAGCATTTCCATGATGATCTCCGGTAACATAATTTACATACGATCCTAGTACAATTGCACACGGCCTTGCACGGTATTCTTCAACCCCCTTTCATACCAAATACAACACGCCCCAACTGGGTCGTGAAGCAACAATTGAGGTCGGTGTGAAAGAAGAAGATAGCGGGGGTATAATGGATAAGTAACGGAAGACTGTAGAACCCAAAAACTTTAGACACAACCGCCAAATTCAAACGAATCTTTTGACGTAGACGATGTGGAGGACTTTGTGAAGCAAGAGATCGAGGAGTTTGCCTCAACAATTAGATGTGAAGAGAGACTTCCTCTGACGACAATCAAGAGAAGCCTGAAGAACAAGAATGATGGTGGAGAACTATCTGAATTGGATGATAGAGTCATCACCAAAATTTGGATCTCGAAGATACTCGACCGTTGGGTAGATGAGGCTGTGGAGGCATTCGAGAAGAGCTTCCGAAAACGCTGTGACTCAAAAATGGTCGCTGAGAAATTGGCAGAATTGAATGAAGACGATTTTTGGAAAGTCAAAATCCTCAACAAGCGTTCTATACAAAAGGTGATCAGTAATCATAAGGACCTGTTCGATAGCACAGTGCTCAGCACTGCTCTCGAGTCTTTCCAGGAACGTTGTTACGCCCATTTAAAGTATCAGAATATCGGGATCGCGAGAGAGTTGAAGTTTTTCGAGGAATTTCTCAGAGTCATCAGGGAGGAAGCAGACGAGAAGTTCTTGCAGCCATTCCGCGAAATCGTTAGGTCAGATGTTGAGGTCCACCGAAGATTCGTGTTGTTGCTGGGCTGCGTGTTGACGAATGGGATCGCATCATTGAAGATCATGGCCCAAATGCTCATCAACGAGAAAGAATTCTATTTCCCTGGGGAGTTCTTTGAGATTGTTGGGCTGTTTTTTAAGCCGATTTCAAAATCAATTTATGAAAAGGATGGAGTGAGCATATTGGAGGTGTCTGGAAGTGCTTTTTCGATCAGTGAGCTGGATTTGGCTCAAACAAAGTGCAAAGAGATCCATTTGATCAGTCAGATCTCTATCAAGTTGAACCGAAGCATCGTGTTGCCGGGAGTTAATATTCTGATTAAGACGCCAAGACTTTTGGTTCCTGAAAAAGTTCAGATAAACACCACTGGTCGGTCAAAGACGGACAAATACACATCCGATGCTGGGAGGGACTCGTTGGGAAACGGAAATGACGGAAGCGATGGAAAACCGGGGGAAAGTGCTGGGAACGTGTATATTAAAGTTGATCGGATCAACTGCAGAGAGAATTTGGAGATCGTAGCAAATGGTGGTGACGGGAGCTGGGGTCAAGACGGGGGAACCGGTATTGATGGAGTGAAGGGAGAAGCCATGACGATTTGGGATCTCAAAGAGAAAATGCCCGGTGCGGCAGCGTTCCTCTTAGTGAACCGTGGTCCACGTGTCAGCAAGATTCTTTGTTATATAGAGGCTAATCTATCTGAGTTGCTCGAGGTTTGGTGGAGCGGTGGGACGGGCGGATCCCTTCAACAGATTTGGCAGGACATATTGAACCGCCGAGTCAAGAAGGTCACAACGGACGTGCTCGGGTTTTTCACTTCACTCATCCCAGGAGATGTTTACGGTAATGTGTGCATCTACGTGAAAGCCAGGCTGAAAAACGGAATGGTGGTTACATTTGCTTGGGAATGTGGTGGTCACATCAAATGGATCAATTGCCAAAGTTACCTGCTCGTGAAGGGCACTGAGGCCACCCCGGAAAAAGACGGGGGCTTGGGCGGAATGGGTGGTCAGGGTGGATTTCCGGGTTCAATCGTGATCAACGGACAAGAGGATGGTGGGTTGCCCGGGAAGAACGGTGAAAACGGGAAACGAGGCAAAAATGGACAACCACAAAAGAATGGCTGGGATGTGGGATGGACAGAGGACTCAACGGGCTCAGAGCCAATCTATAAAGGAGGGAATCATGATATGAAGCTGGAGATAGTCCCATTTTACGATAGGCAAGAGTGGAGACACGTGTGTCCGTATCGTCGAGACCAAAACTTGGCACATTGGGTTGAGATACAGGGGACTTCGTTGCCGAATCCGATTGAACGGGAGACGAGTCGAGGTCAAGAGAGAAGAGCCAAAGTCCGGAATCAGGTGATGGCTGTGAGAAAGTCGAATGTGCACATCAATGAGCTTCAAAGACACGAGAGTGATGTATTTGCCACGGCTCAAAAGCTTATGAATGCCCTCCAGAAGAGTCACAAAGAAAACTCTGAACTGCTTGTTGGATCGAGTCTAGAGCAGCACAAGAACCAAGTGAGAGCCTCGATGAGTATCACCAGACAAATCGAGTTTCATGAGCCAACAAAGAAGCGCCAAGATATTGCTCTCCACGAGATCGGGAGCTCACACCGACCTTTCGAGAATAGAGACTTGTTTCTGATTGTGCTGTACAAAATGGCCGAAAGGTTGGAGTTGAGTCAAGAGGATATGCAAACAGTTTGCCATGAAACTCAATGTTCAATCAAAGATGAGGATCATTTCCTTCAAAAGTGCCCAAAAGAGTCGTGGTCTGAAGATTTCCAGCGTTTCATCGCTGTCTTCAATGCGGACAAAGAAGCTAGTAATATGCAACAGTTTTTCTCGTTTTTCAATAAGGGATTAGATCTCCCGAAGGCTTTCCAGGAATTGCAGAAAAATTCAAAGTCCGGGACTCAAAGAGTCCTTCGAGAGTTCGTTTTCGAGATCTTAGAGATCAAGAAAAATGATACGAAATGGTATGGAAACTTGGTAAAAAAGTTCTGGCAAGGCAAGGAGGAGAAGCCAGAAACTACCATCTCCGACCTGAAAGATGGCTACAATTTTTGGTATTCCAAGAAGAAGAGGGATTTGATCGTATTCGAAGAGTCACTCGAAAAACTCGATGAAACAGCTGTGGCCAATCAAGAAGTGATGAAAAAATTCGGGAAACATTTGCAAGAGAAGCCTTCTTTGACCTCGACATGTCATATTGAACTAATTGCACAGTTACAAGAGGTTCAAGTTCAGTTTTTTGTCAACGATGGAAATGATAAGATGGTTTTGACTGATATTTTCAACCCAAAGGCCAAAAAGGTTCTAAAGGTGACCTTCGGGAGAGACGAGGAATTATTTGAGCTGAAAGTTAATGCCTCGATGCTAAGACTGGAGCAAGAGAGGCTTCAGAAGTCAATCATCTACGATTCGATTCTCGGTTCTCTTTTCCATTTCACAACACCGGTCGAGGTGAATCAATATTTCAAGAGAAAGCACTTTCTTCAACTTGGAACCGAGAATCCGAAGCCTTTTGAGAAGCTCGAGAGTCCAGAAAAAGCCTTGGCACGGATCAAGAGCTGTTTGAGGAATAATACCTCGATTTGGAAGCGACTCAACTTCATCACCGAGCCGTATATTGGGACAAATCGAATTCTTCACGCTCTCGCCGATCGCTTCCAATGTGAGGGTTGTCTGTTAGCAGAAGAAGAGATGAGTCTCTTCATTAACACGGTTCTTGAAATAAGTCGAGCCTCAAGAAACTTTGTCGATCTCTTTCTATGGATAATTGTTGCATCAAGCCAAAGATCATGGCTAGTTGAATGTGGAGTTTTGGTGATTGAGAACTTTTTTGAGCGTTCGATGCATTCGGGGATTGTTTCGAAGTTCCGGAGCTTGAGCGACAAACGAATCATCTTTCATCTATTGGAGCGATTGTCTTCTCTGGCACCAAATACGTTTTCTTTTGAGGATTTCGAGAACTTGGTCCATCTCTTACAAATAGCGACCCCATCGATAAACCTGATTGGTTTGGAACTCAAGCAATGGCCCTTTGTCCTGAAAATCAATTACTGGGCGGTGAAGCTGCAGGAGATCACAAAATGGGGCAAAAGTGACGACCTTCTCCAAAGGACACTCCATTACTTGACATCGATCGAAATTCTCTACAAAGAAGACTCGATTAATAAACTATTGAGCGTATTTGCCGAGAAGAAGGACCAAATCACCTCTAAAATTGTTCTGCAAATTTTCGAGGCACTTTACAGTGAGAAAGTGTTTCTGACCGAGAAATTCCTGAAGATTCTAAGTGCTCAGCCGGTTGATCGATGGTCAAAAAAGCTTGATATTGATAATCAGAGTCTTCGCAAATTGGACAGATTGATTGAGATCATTGAGAACAACAACAGAACATCGAAATCAATAGCCACACTTTTGCCAATGTTGAAAAAAATGACTCGAAAAGTCGATTCGTTCAAGAAAGAGATGCCCCATTCTAAAGAGGAGATCCAAGAGTGGACAAGAAAGCATCAGAGTCGTGGCTTCTTCTCGAATCTCTACGCGGATTTAACAAATTCGTCCATGGCCGAATTGTTGGCTGTTGTGATTCAAGCGATTCACCTCAAAGAGGGCTTTGTGCTACGAGACACGCAAAAGATCGCGATCCTCTTGTTCTGTTTATCAGAGGGAAAATCCCGGGTACTCGAGCAAGTGTCAACGGGTGAAGGGAAGTCTCTGATCGTCGCCTCATTGGCCATCATTCGGGCGCTTCGTGGTGAAAAGGTTGACGTGATCACGAGTTCATCGGTTCTCGCGAGACGAGATGCCGAAATGAATCGAGAGCTGTACGAGATGTTCAATCTGACTGTCAACCACAATTGTAGCGAGTCATTGCAAGAACGAACGGATGTCTATCAGACGAGCAGTATCGTGTATGGAGAGATCACAAACTTCCAAAGAGACTTCCTACTCGATCGCTTCTATGGGAAAAACATTCTGGGGGCTCGTCAATTCGAGAGCGTCATTGTGGATGAAGTTGACAGTATGTTGTTGGATAAGGGCAACAATGTGCTCTACTTGAGCCATCAAATCGCCGGTTTCGACAAACTCGAATCGGTTCTGCTTTACATTTGGCAACTTGTGAACCGACCGGTGAAGAATCAGAAGGATTACGACTTGGCAATGGATACAGAGCATTTACGACAGAATGTCATCGATAATATGTACAAACGGGTTACGAGAGATGATCTAAAACGATTGTCAACCGAAGAAGCGACCGTTAACTGTTATCAACTATGGAATGAGATGCTACAAGAGAAGATCATCGATGAAAAGGGTCGTCTTTTGATTGAAGAGAGAATTAAGCAAGAGGTCAACAAGATCAAGTCGATCGATCAGGCCACCAGAATTCGTTTGGTCTTTTTGTTAAACGAGACAATCAGAAAACAATGTATGGCCGTTGTGCCCAATTTCTTGATCGATTTCGTTGAGGCTCATTTGTCTAAATGGATTGAGAACGCAAAAACGGCTCTCTATATGATGGCTGGGAATGATTATGTTGTGGATATTGACAGAACCGGAGTGAAGCACGATTTGCATGCAAATATCACGATACTCGATCGAGACACGGGTACCGATCAGGCGAGTTCTCAATGGGAGGAGTGTTTGCATCAATTCTTGCAGCTGAAACACGGTTGTCGAATGTCGCTGATGAGTCTGAAAGCGATCTTTATCTCGAATGTCAGTTATTTCAAGAGATATAAGAACCTCTTTGGGTTGACCGGCACTCTTGGGTCTGTGCATGAAATGGATCTCTTGAAGCAGATTCACGACGTTGATTATGTGACCATTCCAACGGCTTGTGGAAAGAAGTTCTATGAGGAGACGCCGATAATATGTGGGGGTGAAGAAGAATGGATTAAGCGGATATACGAAGACGTTTGCGCTTTTTCACATCAACGCTCCGTTTTGGTGATCTGTGAGACGGTTGAGGGTGTGAACTTCGTTGAGAAGAGCCTGACAGCGCAAGGATTAAATAATATTTTTGCATACAGAAGGGAACACGAGAAGTTTACCGTTGCAGATCGGTCTTTATTGACTGGACAAGTTATTGTGGCTACAAATTTGGCTGGAAGGGGCACGGATATCAAGATTTCAGATGCTCTGAGAGATGCGGGTGGTCTGCACATCTGTCTAACATATCTACCATCAAATAAACGCGTTGAAGAGCAAGCCTTTGGAAGGGCAGCCAGGTCGGGCGATCCAGGAAGTGGGAGACTAGTGATCTTGAAAGATGACACCAACATGCCCACCACTGATCATCAAATCGTGGCAACCAAAGTGGAGAGGGATAGCGATGAATTGAAACGGATCGCTGAAATCAAGGAGCACTATGAGAAGCGGATTCTTGCTGAGGAGTACTGCTTCGAAGAGTTCAACAAGCTCTATCAGGCACAGGCTGGTAAGTTCCAAATGGGTTCCGTCTATAAAGTGAACCTCTTGGAGAACCTCATTGATCAATGGGCGTTGTGGTTGGACAGGTGGAAGCAGATCATTAACAACGATGGAAATGGGGAATCATACAAGAAACAGTTGGCCCTTTTCGTAGAACAAGCCAGGGAATTCCCGACGAAGAGAACGTTCATATTGATGCCACATTTGGTCCGACTTGCAAAGAAGCACATTGAGCAGGAGAGCTACGATGATGCAATCGATGTTTTGAATCATGTGATTAACTTTGAGCCCCAATTCTCCGAGGCAGCCCACTACTATAAAGCCTATGCAATCGGAAAGTGTTTCAGTTGGGAATTCAATCGAAGCGAATCGAGCAGAGTTGTTGACGAATTGGAGATAGCCAAGAAAATGTTCGAAAAGCTTTCCGATTCCCAATTGCAATACTCAGCAATTGTGACCAAGATGAAGGAGAACTTCGAGTCCGTCGGAATCATTCAGATCACTTCTTATGAAGAGCAAAAACAGGGCATCGTTGGCATCTATGGCCAGTTTATCGCAGCGATTGATGAGGCAATCGGATCGGCTGTTAGTTCGGAGTCTTTCTACAAGGGAATCATCAACGAAGAGATGAGCTCAACGTTGTACGATTTGTTCTTTGGAAAAAAAGTTCTACTCCCGATGAAGACCTCGAAGCCGGATGACCTGAAAAAGATAGAAAGAGTTGCCCGAGAATTCGGGATTCCTTTGGAAACGCTTACAACATTTTTGCAAAAGGGTTATCAAGGAAATGCTATTCAGATCGAGAAAGCTTTGCGTGAATGCATTCCTCTGCCCAATCGGGACGACTTTTGGGATGAGCTGTTGAGTAACGGATGGTTAATAAAACCGAAAACCTTTGTGGGGGTGGACAAGGAGAGATTCTTCCGAGAATATCCATTGCTCATTTCAGATAAAGATTTTATTGGTAACTCAAGGGAAATAAGGGAGTTCAAAGAAGAGATCAGTGGTCTCGTTTTGAAGACTCCAGAGCCATTAAATGAGATGCTCGAGACAAGCAAAGTCTTCGAAAAAGAGGCTTTCATGAGATTGATTCAAAAGGTTCGCTATGAAACTTTCTTTCAAAAGGGATTGATCGTGGAATTAGACGTGGCTGAAAGAGGAGAAAGTAGCAAAGATTTTGCTTTCAAATCCTTCGATAAACTAAGAATCGAGGACTTTAGTGGTGAGCACATCAGAATAGAAATAGCTTCAGCTGTTCTTCAGGAACTCGTCAAATCGAAAGTTCTCAAGAAAGAGGGAACTGATTATCGCCTCCGGGTCGCTGATCTGAATGATTACAATTTGCCATTGAATTTTCGTTTGTATTATGACGCGGTTGATGCTTTGCTCGCAAGGAGTTTTGCATATCGATTGGCTTTCAACAGAATGACAAGGCAAAAAGATGGCTCGATAAACATTCCAATGCTCCATAAGCCGCATCAACAATTGCTCTGGGATCTGGTTGATGCTGCGGCTATTGCTCCTGTAACTGTTGGATCATGGGATTCCGTTTCAAGGATTCTCGAGGCCCAATACCCAGAATATTTCTCACGAGAAACTTTGATTGAGATCATGAGACAAGAAGTTCCAGGTCTGACAGTTAATAAAGCCTGGAATCTACTCAGGGAGAAAGGCCACTTGACCGAGGCAGTTTTCAGCTCCACGTACACGATCACCGACAAACAGGTGACGATCTACGGAGGAGATTATGAGACAACGAACAATCGACTTCAGAATTGTCTAAGAGGGCAAATGCTTCTCCGAAAGGAAACAACAAAACAGGAAATTGCTGGAATCATCGATCATCTAAAGGGGTTGATCATCACTTTGGATTGTCCAGAACCCTATTTACAAGAACTCTACGACGCTCTCGGATCGAGGGCGCCGGCAGCCATGGAAGAAATAAATATCTTCATGTTGAACGGATTGAACGACATCATTCGCTTCAAAGAGCAGCCGTACACATGGAAGATGATCTTCTACACGACATTGACGGTCGTGATGGGACTCGTTCAGATAGCCATCGGAATAGCCATTCAATTGTTCACGGTCGGTCTGATGAGCCATGTTGGTGTAGGGTTCATCAGCGAGGGAGTCGGTGATCTAATCTTTGCCGTTTCTGCGATGAGATCCGGCTACTTCAGCTGGTCGGCTTATTGGCAGCACAAGAAGGAGAGCATCATGTTTACAGTGGTCACTTGTGGAATCGGAGCCTTTTTCGCTCGTGGAGCCCAAGTGTCGCGGTACGGGGCCAAGTTTGCACAACAAGGATTGAAATCGGCTGGGAAAGAAGTGGCAAGTAAAGCGGGAAAGGAACTGATCAAAGAGGTCGGCTGGTCAACTGTGCGAAACACGGTGCTAAAAGATTTTGCTCTGCACGCGATCAAGGGGGTGGCGTTAGGGGTGACGAGTCAAGCAGTGGCGGCTCTGGTCGACAATCACTTGAGAGAGCTTTGTGTCGGTTTCGCCGCGTCGTTTTACCAACAAATCAGAGAATCGGCAAAGAAGCACAAAATCTCACAAACAATCGATAAATTGTATGCTCATCTAGGGGCGAGAAAGAGTAAGGAATTGTTCGAGAGCCATTTGAGGAGTGCACTATCAGAGAGAGCATTTAACGAGACCACTTCGGAAGCATTTCTCAGATACGGAGTCCATGTATCGAGGCAAATCGGCGATGGTCTCGGATCGATGAACAGGCAAAGTTCTACTCCGTATAGTTTCTCGTACATTGCAACTTTGGTTTTGAAGTTGGCAGATTACGTATCGATAGCGAAGAATCTCTATGAACTGGGAACACTGGTGGATCAGCTGCTCGATCGGGTCAACAATAGTCTTCTCGGATGCTCGGAAATGCTGAACAGCCAACCGGTCAACAATGATCGTGAAGAAAGAGAGAATTTCAAAAAATCGTCGTTGGATTTCATGAACGATCAGATGAACGAACAGATTGGGACAATAATTGGCAAGAAATTTGTGGAGCCTCTCTTGCAAACAGGGGCCAACTATCTTGTCAATTATTTGGGAAGACACATCAAGAAGCAGTACCGGTCGTACAAGAATTACGAGCACGCTCAAGAGTTTGAGAAGACGAAGAAAGAATATGAAGCGAAGAGGAAAGAAGCTATTGAGTCTGAAGCCAACGAAGAGACCCGGAAATCGATCGATCAGAAATATCACAGCACATTGAATGACTTGAAGAAACGGGTTCGAGACCCAAAACTGTACGCAGCCATTCTACGAGAGGGCGGTCATATGGATATGCAAAGTCTGAAGGCATATGCTGGAGTTCTCGATGCACATTTGAAAGCGAATGGATCAAAGAAGGGATATCTGATAGAAGTGAAAGGGAATGATGGAACGAGTTTCACGCTACAATGTGGTGATCCAGAAAACGTTACCAAAGTGGAGCTCCAAGTTGACCAGGAGCATTTCACACCTCTACAACACGGCACGCAAATGAACGAATCGTCTGGTGGTGATTACGATTGTCTTCTGAATGCTTTGAAGAGTGAGATCAGTGAACTGGACATGGACAATCGAATGCTGAGAGAACAAATTGCGCGTCGTGTTGAGACGGATCTCGAAATCGGGGAAACGATCCGAAGCGGGCAACACGCGCTCGGGATCCGAAGGGGACTCTACGGCGGGATACGAAACCGGCAAAATAGTGAAGGCGCAAACCAAATCGAACGGACAGAAAGATGGGAGTTCAAAGAGAAAGTAGACGTCGATTTACGGAATAATGGTACAACGACAAGAACCAATCAAGAACAAGTGCAAGACGCACATGTGGAGGCCGTGAAACTTCTAGAACGTTTGGTGAATTGTTACACGGATGATAAGGAGTTGAGGGGAACTTCCGGGAATCGAGAGATCGATGTGGACAATGTGAGAGACTCTGTCATTAAAGCGATGAACGATGCCGGTCTCGAGACACCGATCCAACTCGACGAGACAAAGTTCAAGGCGACAAAGTATGTTGAAAAAAAGCAAGAAGGCAAGGAAAGCGTGTGGGTGCCGGTTCAATTCGAATATTATGAAGCCGAGGGTCAACCCGGGATCACGATTCGACCAAAACTCAACCGATCAGGGACAGAGACTTGTGAGATGCGACTGAGACTTGAGTACAACGTGGACAATCCGATTGTGCCAGACAATGGGCCACCACACCCACACATCGGGTACACGTGCCGTGTGACAAATGGACCGGCACAATTCAGAAATATCACTGGCCATATCATATTCGATGATAACCCAAATCTTCCGGGAAGACAGAGATCCGGCATGAGAAGCTATGAGAATCTACCAACGCAAGCCCGAGTCGTTGATGTGGATTGGACAAAGACCGGAAATGCGAGGCCGACAAGGAAAGATGGGCCGCCGAGAAGGAACTCATTTATTGGAATTCTGGTAACATCTTTGGCAAGCTTCCATAATTTTCGAAAAATTTCAGCCTCGACGTCAGTGAGTCTGTGAGATCAATGTACGTTTTTTTTACAGCGTTTTTGGTTCAGTAAGTTTATTCAACAATTTTTATTTAACGCTTTAACAACTATTTATTGGGTTGGGGAGAATGAATGCCAAACTTAAAGCATTTTCAGCTAGCCCTTTATACGTTTTCCCAAGGTCCACTTTTCCTACATGCTTTGGGCCAAGCTTCTTTCGTGGGTTTTGCTCCACGCTCTGGTCATGGCGGTCCGCTCTCGTTTGACTTTCTACCACTAACCTTTCTGGTGTTTATACAAAAGTAGATTCTTACTGTTGCCAATTTGCGGAGTCCCATTGTTTTTCTGTGCGTTTGTGTTTTGTGTGGCTTCTTGGCGGGGGCTGTTTGTTTTCTTTTTGTCATTTTGTAGAGTTAGTTACCATTCTACTGTATCCGCGTATTTTTGCGGTCTGCTTTTTGTTTTTTGTCTTCGGCGCCGCTCTTCTCCCCCCTTTTTATTTAACTATGTAATTAATAGAAAAAAAATTTTTGCTAAGAAAGAGAAAAACTATAAAAATTAATACAGTGGTGAGAAAAAGTATTGGCCGCTCATGACAGAAAAAGTTTATTGTAATTTTTTCTTATATAGATTAACCATTTTGTTGTGTCCTGTTACCATTTGTTAGAGTGCTTGTAGAACCATTGAATGAAATTTCTCCTTTTGCAAACTTTAGATTATTTTGAAAGTTTTGGAACAAAAGAAAAAACTTTCGATTTTTGGGTGGAAAAAGTATTGACCGCACAAATAAAACAATAGATTTCAGTATTTAGTCGGCCCTCCTTCAGCCTTAATGATTGCCGCCATCCTTTCTGGCATACCAATTTATCAAGAAACCGCGGCGATATTGATTTCCAAATTTCTTGAAGCTTGTCCCAAAGCTCACCTCTCGAAGACACCCGAAATCCCTTCAGTTCTCGTTTTACATGAGCCCACAAGTGTTCGATTGGAATACAATCAGGTGAATATGGCGGCGTATCAAGAAGATACACATTGTTGAAGCGAAGACCGACAAAACGGTCTGCGGAAATCTTGACATGACGTCCCATCATCAATCCACTTTTATGTTTGGGGTCGTTGTCCTGCATGAATAGCCGGGCTGGACCCATCGTTGTTCGAGCATGTGAGAGCATCGATGACTGAAGTCTATCCGCGTATTTGACCGCATCCATTGTTCCATCGATACGAACGAGAGGAAACTGTCCTGGCTTCAATTGTCCAGAAAAGCATCCCAGCACATTATCCCACCTCCGCCAAATTTGACTGTCGGTTGAATATACTTCTATCTTATATCGTGCTCCCGGTGACCTCTTGATCATAAAATAACCATTTGGGTTGAATAGCTCGAACTTGACTTCATCACTCCGAATTACATTTCGCCAAGTCTCGACTTTCCAGTGTTGATGCTCCAATGCTAACTGTAAACGAAGACGCCGAGATTTGAGAGACATCAAGGGCTTTCGCGCTGGCCATCGTGGGAACAATCCGCGTGTTTTGAGATGATTTCGGACTGTTCGAACAGTAACATCAACTCCAAACTCGTCTTTCAAGAACGATCTTCCATTAACAGCCGTGCGAGTGGGAGAGGAAAAGTGATGTTTGTACTAGGTTTAGTCCTGTTTAGCCATTGTTCTGCGCGGGCGTCTACTCCTGGTCTTCTTGTACGCATTTCCCTCCTCGCGTTGCCTTTCGCAAAGTGGCCAGACTGTTCTTTTTGAGACGTGAAACACATCCTCGATTATTGCGAGATTGACTCTCTTTTCTCGGACACGGATAAAGCTCTCTCTGATCTCTCTGATCGAAGTGCCAATATTTCGTTTGTGAGAAATCACCTGAAATAATAAATTAAAAACTGCTTCAAAGAATCGAAGAAAAGCAAAAATTAACATTAAAAACTAGAGCGGTCAATACTTTTTTCCACCCAAAAATCGCAAGTTTTTTCTGAAGTTAAAGTTTTTCTTTTGTTCCAAAAATTTTAAAATAATCTAAAGTTTGCAAAAGGAAAAATTTCATTCAATGGTTCTGCAAGCCCTCTAAAAAATGGTAACAGGACACAACG